TACTCTTTTAAAACTTTTTACATTCTAACAATTATTCATTTATTTATTATTATTATTATTATTATTATTAATCCTTGACAGTATAGTTTTGTTATTGTTAAAAATACTTTTTTATTAAAATAAAAAATAATTAACATTAGTTTTAATTGAAAATATGTTCCTCATATTCATTAATTTTAATTTTTTCCCTTTCAATGCATATTGCATTTATCTGTTTTTAACGATTAATTGTTAACAATGCACAAGAAAAATGTATTGCTTCAAATAAACATAATTTAAAAAAAAAATTGGAAATCAATTATCAAACAAAAACAAATAAAATTAACTTTTCCTAATTTAAAATATTAAAATAGAAATCATGATAAATATACGAATATATGTATAGATATATAGAAAAAGTTTAGTTATTATCAAGTATTTGATGGGTAGCTAACAATATCCGAGTGGTTTATTTTTATTTTCAAGATTATAATATATTTTTAACTGTTTATAAAATTATTAAAGATACTCCGTGATTTTATAAAAACCATAATACATTAAATATTATAAACTATTATGTTAGATTATTGGACTTAAAATATTACAATATCAGATGGCTGCAAAGTATAATTTTATTAAGATAAATAATTTTTTTACTTACTATACTACTTCTATCTTAAATATAGATTCATATAATATATACGAATCAAAAGGTTTGATGACTGTTGGTTCATTCATATTATAATTTATAAATGAATATTTTGTTCTTATAGATTTAAAAATAAAAATAAAATATATCACATTATCAAAAGCTTCTATAATAACAAAGAAAGACGAATTTATAAGAATGATAATAAAAAGTATATAACCTTTATAATTTTTATAAGGGTAACAAAAATAAAAACACAATTAAAGTTGAAATTGTTAAAAGTAATCATGGGTTATGTAGTAAATAAATTATATTGACGCACATGCGGTATGTAATATTCATTTTGCGTTTTATAATTTGCTTGAATAATTCAGGCACTGATTAAAATTAAATGACTACTTTTATGTATTTTTTTTTTATAATTTTAAAAATATGTTTTTATATGTATAGTTACCATAGGTAGGTTAATAATATTTTAAAACAATCTTTATAATCATTACCTATGTTGATATTATTTTGTATAACAATATTTCAAAATGCTAGGTATACTGTACCCTTAAGTATTTAAAAAAACATAAAGCAAATAATTATTATTTTTAGTTAATGGACTTCTCGATTCTTGTGTTAAAAAATTGAAGCTTTTATAGGTACATTTTTTTCTCCAAAAAATATCCTGAGATTAATACAATGTAATACATATTATAAACTATTTAGTTCAAAATTGTTTTTAATTATTAAAATATTAAAAAAATTGAAAAATGTTGAAGTCTATTTTATTTTTAGTCAGGTACGACGTGTTTCGACGGTAGAATACAAATGATACGACGATAGTTATTATTTTGAATTACCACTTACAAATTGCTGAATATTAATAAAGCCAAATGTTGTATTACTTATCATTAGAATAATGGCGAAGTTTCGAAATATATTGATATATGTGTGTGCTGTTCAAACACTTAAAGAAAAGTAACATCTATTTACAAAAATTATTTTCCAATAATATATTATATCATTATGCGTATTGTACGCAGTTACCGCAGGATAAAGGAGACACGAGTACTGTGGAGTGTATTAAGAATAAAAACAATTTAACGAAACTATAAGTCTACTTTTAATACATAAGTAATAAACGTTGAATAAATCCCAAAAAATTGTATATGTCCTTGCTTTGTAACAGATAAGTTTTTCCCTACTGATCTTATGTACAATATATGTAATATAATATTCTCCGCTGTGATTTCTTCTGGAATATTTGTGTAAAAATTATCTGGTAACCCAACCGTTTTATTAGTCGACTGTAAAATGTATTTAAATATGAACTTCCCTGCTGCTATTAGTGAGACGCATGAGAGATAATGCCCAAGAAACTTAACATGAATAATGGGCGACCCTTAGTGTATATGTGTACACGCGTTTCTGTTTTAAGTTAATTTGATGATCGTAATTGTAGTTACTATTTATCTGTAATTTAATTTCAAATAAAATTATTTGTCTTAGTTAACGTTTGCTCTGAAATTAATATAGTTATATTAAACTGTTTGGTTAAGAAGCGTTACTTCAGTAAATATTAATAATAATAATAAAAAAAAACATATGCTCTTGTGTAGTTATGAGTTATGTGTACACATAGTCATAGAACGAATCTTTAATGTAGTGATGTTTTAAATTATACATAAAATAATGTATACTGTCCATGATTTGTGTATTATTTTTTCCCAAAATTATACAACATTTAAATTGCTGTATTTATTATAAAATGTAGAATTTTATATACTTTTTCTGGTCACGCATTACTTTATAGAATCTACTGTAGCTTATAAATTATTATATACCAGTACAAATAAAGTTTACATTTTAAATGCTAGACATCAGCTTTCTAACATCTTTTTATTGTATGGGTTTAATTTTTTTATATTAATATTAAGTTAGTCAGTAATTTTTTTTTATATATATGCAAATACGTGTTACATAAATATGTAATTTATGTTTATTTAAATATAAAAAAAACGTTGAATTATAAAAAGGCTTTTGTACTGAGTTTTCTATTTTAAAAAGTAAAATATTATATAACGACTTTTAAATGTTCTTAGACTATTAATTATTATTGTTCAGAAGACTTAGTTTTTAGTTTTAACATGAACTGTGAAGATGGCTATGTATGATTTAAGTTATTGTAGTTTTTTTATATATATAAAACATGTTATGTACTATAAATTTTTTTGTAATTTCAAATTAGGTATAATTGTAATATTTTTGAAAAGTTAAAGTGTAATTTAAAACTAGCCAAACGTTTAAACAAAATGTTTTATCATAAAAAAACTAAATTTAAAATAAATTTATTTTTGTGATTGATTCAAATAAACGGTAACAATCTGCACTTGTATTATTTTTATCAAACAATATCTTAAACATAATACCAATTTTTGTTTGATAAAAATGAATATTTTATAGGGTGTTGAATAAGTTTTGAAATGGCCATTAGATTATTTGAGACTAATAAACGATAATATTATATAATTGGTGAAGTTGTTAAATATTTTACATTATAAATAAATAAATGTACAACAGTGTTATTTATTATTACTTTATGTGGGTATTAAAATATGCATACAATAAGAATTTCCAAACTTATTGAACACTTGGTATAAAATATTGTATATATTAGGGGCAGCCAAATGGTTGATCATTAAAGTCGATTGTATTGGAATTTATTTTTAGACTATGCACGCAAAACTTAATCATAGTGGTAGTTAGTTAATAATAAAAAAAACTTTTTGTATGGAAGTCGATCTTCAAAGGTGAAGTATATTTTTAGTTTATCGCGGTCAAAAAGAGTTAGGCTATATTTGGTTTATATAACAAAAAGATTGATTTTGTTTTTTCTTATTTGGGTATAAGTTTTAACATAATTATAAAATTGTTAGCTGCAGTCACATTTATTAAAATAAATGTTATACCATTATTTCCAGGGTTAGGATTTTGGTCATGGATTTATTAGGTTTTTATTATTTTTGTGCCGTATGAAAATATTTGATTTACAATAAAATATTGATAACAAAATCAATAAAATCGTGACGTTGGAAAAATATTGGATACAAATTAATTATAAATTTTATAAAAATAAAAATTTATCTTTATATTTCCATCTTTAATACAAATATTTGCTAGATGTTTATTTTTATTGTTAGTATGAGTATGTCAAAATATGAAATATATCAATATCCATAGAATTTTGGTACTTTATAATTATATTGCACGCATTACATTGTGTCTATCACTATTTTTGCTATTTCTATGTTCAATGACACAATTCAAATTTAATTTAATTTTTGAAGGAGAGGAGTGTATGATTTTGAAAAATTTAGGCTTAATGAATAAAATTTAGGTGAAGTAAATTTTCGTTATACATGGTATACGTTCAAGATATATGTCACTACGTATTATGTATGTTTATATAGAATTGGTGAAAATAATCCTATATTTTGGAAGCTAGGATTAGAACCCCGAACCTCCCCATGCTTAGTTGCATCACCATTTATATTATATTTACATGATCTGACAATGTTATTCTAAGACTCTACTCTTGAATAATAACGCGTTAAATGAAAACAAAGTTATTGATAATTGTTAATATTATTTAAAAGAAAATGTACTTATAATGGTTAAATCGAGTTCTGTCAAAAGGTTGGCGTTGTTTAATTTGCTTCAATATTGCCTAGATTTGTATAAAAACAAGAAATAAAATATTTTTTAAATTTATAATACAAAACACAAATAAAAAGGATAAAAACTTTTAAGATTAATATAATTTTATCGATACCTACCTATATAGTTGTAACTCACAGAATGTTATTTTAGAATTTTTTTTAAAATTGTTTAAATTTACTATATATGCAAGGTGATTAATTCCTATTTTTTATTAAAACTCTGAATTTTAAAATTATCAAGGTCATCCATATCTTTAAATTCAATACTATGCACCTATTATACACAAAATTATATAACTTAAAAATTATGCATTTAAATGTTGATTTTGCAGATATGTTAAAATGTTTAGAAAATTATCTGTTAAATAATTTACTGTTTAAAAAGATATCATTTGAAAAACAATATTTTGGATCTCCGCTGGATACTTTTTAAATAAGTACTACAAAAAATATCAAGGATTCAAAAACATGAATTTCAAGATTATTAAAAACATTTAAAATAAAATATTGAATAACTGTGTTATTTAATAACAAAGATGAATTAAAAATGCTTGGCGAATTGTCCTATATTCATATATGAATAAGTATAATCAAATATAAATAACCGTCTATTAATTTGCTTCTACAGTTCAAATCTATAATAACTAAGAATATCTAGTACGTACCTATTTGAAAAGATTCTTGACAGTCGGAAGGCACGATATCTACAATTTCAAATTGTGGCATTCTCAATCCTTTGGCCATTAGTACAGGATCTGTATTTTTCCATTCCAATCGAAGTTCTTCAATAGTTTTTGAAACTAAAGTAATTCATATGAAAATTATTTCAATAAAAATAAATTAATGTGTATTAGGTTAGAAATAATATGTAAAATAAAATATCAATGTTATCAGGGACCACGCTAAAGGGATAACTTAAAGCATTATGTTTATATTATAATTTATGATATATATTTATATAAATATGTATATTTGGATCTAACAGTAATTAAAGTGCATAATATAAATGTATATTATACTTATGTGAATATATATTATATAAAATGTATATGTCATAATATCGGTGAAGAAGCAATTTATCATGCCATAAAAACAGTGGTGTATCTAGAATTTTTTTTTTTAGTAAGATTCGAAAATACCGTAAACCTACAAATTATAAATATGGTATACGAATTTCATAAAACAATATCGACTACCTAGTGTGTTTAAAAAAAAAAAAATAAATAATTAAAAACAAAAAAATTTCCAAAACTTAGATACAATTATAAAATAGTATTAATAAAAAATCATACTTCTTATAATACAAATAAATTGTAAAATAAAGTATTTTTAAAGTGAAAATTCTAATTTTTTTTTTCTATCGAAAACATTTGTTAATTATAGAGATGAATTATATGAGTTATACTATGTGACTGTTTATGTATGTATTTTTTTAATTTAACTTTGGTGGTTTAGATTTTTGAAAAAACATATGGAAAAAAGTGGATAAGCCCAGTACTATCAGGATTACACACTCGCTATACCACTGTAAAAAAAGTCAATTTTCCATGAAATACAAAATGCAAGTATTGAAAAAAAAAAAAAAAATATTATTAAATTAACATAATATTATCGATATGGAAATATGTAAATAATTTTAAAAACATTGATAGCTGTTTTATATAGAATTATTTTTAAATTTATGTTTTATTTAGGAATAATGAGCTGTATGTAATATAATTATTAAAATATTTCAGGTTTTTTTCTGAAAAATTGATGTTTATACCAATTTATTAAAATCTTAGTTTTTCGAAATATATTTTAGTTTACTCATTTTAAATGCATGAACAACTAGAATAGTCTAGTCCTTATTATACCTATTTATCTAATATTTTAAAGCCTTTGATTTTTTTAAAGGATGTCGATTTCGTATTTGTTTTTTTTTTTTATAGATAATTAATTTTAATTGAATAATGCTATACGCTGCTAAACAAGTAAATATATGACTGTGAATTTTTAAAATATATTTTAAATTCAATTATAATTATATTGTAAAATATTTTTAATGTTTATGAGATATATTCTGATATGGTATCTATATTAGTGATATATCATGTTTAGTTAAAGTTTATAAAATCACTTTTAAAACTACCTACATATATAGTGTTTAGACGTTTATTAAGAAAATTGTCCTGTCCCTAAATATTTTTCTTTTGTTTGTCAACAGGATTATACTAAACGTGTTATGTGGTTAGTTGGTAGTTTCTATTTATATGTTTAACTTTTGAAATATTGTCCACTAAAATCTAAACTTCGATGTTAATAAAACTAACTTATTAAGTTAGTAAGCTTTATGTATATATTGCTTGGGTAATGTGTCAAACTAAGCAGTTTTTGAAAGGTTATCAGCTTTGTGATTATTTTATTATCTGCTAAATAATGATTAATTATAGTAAATTAATTTAAATTTATCATATTTATATTCAATATTATGTGTGTATATTGTTTTTATATTATAATCTTTTTTAGTATACAGTTATAAAAGTTTTTAGAACATCTCGACGACATGCATTCGATGAATCGTTTTTGGCAAACGGATATATCGGCGAAACAATTTATTGGGTTTTTAAAATTATAAGATAATAAATAAAATTATTTTTATGATTATTAATTATATTCATTGTAACAGTGGTTATTGGACATATTATGAAGTGTAAAAGGTGAAAAGATTGACAGATAAGTACAGATAACGATTATCAGATTTTCGGTAATTACAATGGGTATTATTACGACAACGTTTAGTTAAATCATAATAACCGATACAAATGTGTTTTTAAAATTGAAATGTTCTGGTGATCTAATTCAAATAATACTTATTTTAATACCTAACTAACTGTGTTATTTTTTATGTTTGAATAACTGTAGTTTAAAGAGATTATGAATACAAAATGCCGAAACCAAAATTAACGAATGAAAAATACTGATACATAATGTATAAATCTAATAACGAAAAAGTAAGTTAAATGTATGATATTATTTTAATAAATATAATAATATATAATAGATAAAAATACTGCGTGTAATAATTTTTTGAATACAAATTATTTTACAAATTTAAAATATGTTTTCAACAATATTTTTCTAATTAAAAAATTGCTTAATTGTTTACTACGAATCTGTTTATAGTTTTTTCTGGTTTGTCTTTTAGTTTTTTTTTTAAATTAAATGTAAATATACTGGAGATGTGAGCAAAACGATGAATATACATTATGTGTTTATACAAATATAGAATTTCAGGAAATAACTTTTTGTTAAAAAAAAATGCATTCTTGTTTTAAATTTAGCTACTAAATTGATGAAAAATTCAATACTTGAAGTCGATTCAATCAATAGATTATTGATGATGTTACTCAAAATCTAAATAATGTTGTCTTAGCTCAAACTTTCAAAAATAAACAAAATAAAACAAAATTTGAGTCTTTAAAAAAAAAAAAAAATTATTATAAAACTTCTCTATAAGCTACGTTTGATGTATTTTCATTTGGTGCTAAATTACTTAACTTGTAGGTGTACTGACTCTGAAGTATGCCACATAAAATTGTGTAAGTAAAAAAGGGCTTAAAATTGTAAGCTAAGACTCACGGATTTTAAGCGTTCACTTATTGATGTTTATACGTATAATTTTGTTTTTCCGATTTCAATCCCTTAAATTCGAAATTTTGAAAAATATTTTCTAACTGCATGATAAAATTATTATATTAATTTATTCTCGAAATTTCAAATCGATAGCTCTAATAGGTTTGACTTTGCATTAATTATGAATCAGTCACTTAGGACAGTCTCCTTTATTACAAAGATTGATGTTATTAGGAGTAAAATAACGTATTACACGGCGTCTACTTTATCCAACAAGAGATTTAATAATATCAGATTAAAATAAATGTTAGTCTTATGGATCACAATTTCTTCTTCGTGATATTGGTGTTCAGGATGATAAAAAATTTATAATTGTTGGATCAATGATTGGACTTCATGTATTATCTATATAAATGCGATGGCGTGCAGATGGAACTTTTTAAAATAACACTACTTATATTTTCAAGGAATTGTATAGCTTACATGCAAAAAATAGTAACAATTCTTTAGTGGTAGGTGAATTTATAAAAACACGCATGAGTGAAGAAGTACATACTAAGTAATATTTTGTAATTTATCAAAAACAATAAAAATAAAAATTTTAATGAATTTATATATATATATTTTTTAATATTTTTCCTGTTTGAATATATTTTTAACACGTAATTAGTTTAATTTAAATATCGTATAAGATTTAGAATTAGTGGTTATTGATACATTTACATATGTTTATACTTCAAATATTGCGTGTTTTTTCCTTAAATCTCAATATCTGTGATGTAAAATTCAAAATGGCTTACAGATAATATAATCAATAGATGTTGCTTTGCAGTAAATGCGAAAATGTTGGTAGCGTTGAATTTTGTACTACTTCGGGATGTAGTTTAATGTATTTGATGAACTTGTCAAGATTATTTACCTGAATTTATTTACCAGAAGTGGATTATTTTGAAGATAGTTTTATCGGTAGGTCAATTTAATTAAGTTTCATATATATATTACGAGTATACAGAGTGATTATTTTATTGAAAATTTCATTATTTCGAAATATTTTAATGTTTTTGAAAATATATTTTTTTTGTATAATTTTCAATTGAAATCAAATAAATTTTTTTAATTTTCTTTTTGTGGTTTTTTAGATTTTTATTTCTTTGAAAAACAACGTAAATTTTTAATTTTATATTCTAAAGCTGAATATTTTTCAGAATATTTCGATGCATAAAAATCAAAATTTGGACGAATACTTTATGATTTATAAGTATTTAAAAGTTTAGTTGAGGAGGTAAAGAAGTTTGGGGACAACCCATAAAATGTTGGTTTACTACTTTGCTTACTTAAATTTTAAATACTTTTAAGTATATGCAATAAAAAAATGTATGAATATGTATGCACTTACGCGCAAAAAATCAGTTAAATATGCATGAAAAATTTGAAAAATATGCATAAAAAATTAAGAATTGTGGACAAAAAATGCAATAAATATATAGAGATAAATTTAATTGTTAATAGAATATAAATAAATGGGTCGGTACTATTTATATGTGCTTGTTATTGTCTATTACATTTTTGAATTTTTTTATTTACTATATAAAATTAAATAAATAAAAAAAAAAAAAACATTTAAAAAAGAGTTGTATTTAATAATTATTATTTGTTTTAAATGTTTTTTTGTAAATCTTCGTCTATTTGGTATTAATATGTTTTTGAATCTATTAGAATTTGTAAAAAAAAACTTTAAAAAATACAGATAATCAAACTTATATTAGATTTAGTTAATAAAATATAAAATTACGGTATTTTTCAGCATTTTGCATTAAAAATCCTCAAATATGTGCTTAAAAAAAAAAAAAAAAAAAACACAAATTATGTTTTTGTAAATAAAAAATGGTAAAATATATAATAATATGCAAAATAAAATTTTAATATTTTGAATATAGATACCACACAACACATTTCTATATAAAAATGGAAACTATCGGACAACCTAAAAAAAAAAATATGCGAAATCATAAACATCTTAACCCTACTTATAACTCATATATTGCTCGTACGAATTTTGATTTTATGTATTTAAATACTTCAAAAAATATTCTACTTCAGAGTAAAAATTTAAAATATATGCTATTATTTGAAAATATAAAAACTTAAAAAATTATGACGATAAAAAATAGTTTCATTTTAACTGGAAATTATGTAAAAACTTTTTTTTTTTTAAAGTTATTAGATGTTTAAATAAGTTTTGTTTAATTAAAGATTCATCGCTACCAATTAAATATTCTACTATTTTCAAATTTTTAATTTTAAAGAGGCGCCAATGAGACGGATAAAGTGATTAGGCACACTACTAAATTTCAATAAAAATTGTGAAATCTCTTTAAAACTGCTATAAATGGACTAGTTTATATAAAAAATGGTTTAGAACGATGGTATAATGGCTTTTAAAAGCAAGTTGGTGATCAATATTTAATGATTTGAAAGATGTTTAAAGGTATATCCAAAGGAAAGTCAAATTAATTAAATTAAGAGTGGTATACGTTGAGATTTTTAAAGAAGATGAGCAGAAATTAAGATGAAATACAACCACAGAAAATATAAAAAAAGAAGGTAGATAATTATTCATGTCAAAACATAAACCATACTTAAAAAATTTGATATACAACATTAAGTTAAATGTAAAATCAATGTACCTACAATAATAATATCTTTTTGATTTTTCAATTACCTATTGGATATCATATGTAAATCGAAAGTCAATAAGGTAGTTTAACGAACAATAAAGCAAAGAGAACCAAAAATTGACTATCGTACACAAATATAATATAGAGTAGAAGTATATTTTTGTTTACTTAAGTAAATAAAAAACGAAACGAAGCATAACTAAACAGAAACCACGAATATTTCTTGAAACAAGCTGGGTTTTAATAAATTAACTTATTTACCCAAATTGGTTATTCTACAATAAATTGAACGGCATCATGTGAGTGCTAATACTTAATTATAATGATTTATTATTATTAATAACTAATAAAAAATCTAGCTTAGAATTTTTTTCAAACTTTTATTATAGATATAATTTTTATTATTTTTAGCCCTTTCATTCTTTGAATATTACTAAAATTAGGCAGAAGTCATACAATTAAAAAAAAAAAAAATAAAATGATTATTTTCTTTACTTAATTTTGGAGTTAAATTTATATGAATGTCAATATTGATCTATATGAATTTCAAGTCCATAGAAAGCAGTAGTTTTGTTTTAAATTGTATGTACATGCATGGTTGTAAATATAATGAAAAATCGATGTTTATAAATAAAATTATTTGATAAATTCGAATGTATACAGCATCGAACTTCTCAGTTTTCGAGAATGCGTTGAGTAAAACTGATTGAAAATACAAAAGTTAATTAGTTTTGATATAAGCTATAAAAAACTAAAAAACAAGCTCATTTAGAAAGATTATAGAATAGTATTTTAAAATTTAAATTCCAATATATAATTGAAATTTAAATTACAGAACTAAAAACAAAAAATAATCTGAATTCGTCAATGTTTTTTCAACATTCAAATAAATTGTATCTTTTTCCTCAGAAAAAAAACAAAATGTAAGATGTAAAATAGTTTTCTCACAAAGATTGATTTCTGAAAATACTAAGCAAGAACAAAACCGTAAATAAAACTTATTGAAAAAAGAGGTTTAAAAAAAAGGCTCAGTTAATAATGTTTGGTTTGGTTTTTTCTTTTTATATGAATAATTTCATAATTTTAATTTATTATCATATTAACAAGAAACTTTTTTCAATATTATTTTTGTGTTATCAAATATTGAAATGTGGTATTTAAATTTAATGACACGAAAATTTCCATATTTTACATATACTCGTAGATAATAATAAATTATTAAAAGTATACATTCAATTTACATTTGAGTTATTCATATATATATATATATTTTTTTTATTGATCTTATTTTAAGCCCGGCAACTATGGCCATTAGCTATAGAAAGAAACAGTAAGTTTATGGGTAGAGTTTGTAAGAGTTGGAACACGTGTGTGAATGTGTGTGTGCTATGGACACTCGTTATTAAAAAACCAAGTGGTCACCCATTCGAGAAGTTGGCGTCGCCGGTCGATGCTTGACCTTAAACAGATTAGTGACCAACGATAACCATCACGCCACACTAGATCACCAAGTCATAAGTTTATAATAGGTTTATAGGCTTAACAGAAAAATAAAAATTATGAATATAATTTGTTTTGGTTACCCCTAAAATGATTGTGTTCAGTATGATGATTAAACAAATAAAATATGAATTAATTCGTTGTTACAAGTACTAAGTACAATTTATTATTTTTAGATTTTTTAAGCATAATTTTAAATTAATGTGTTATTTTTAAAATAAACCGGAAAAAAGCTAAGTTATTACAATGGATGTATCAACTAATTAAAAAGATTAATCATTAAAAAATAAACTCAATAGTTAATTTAAAAAGTTTAAAAATATTAACTTAAACTTAGCTTTAATTTTATAACTAGGTAATTTTCAGATTTGCCTAAATTCATAATTAATTAATAATAAGTAATTACCATTCAATGCAATAAATCATATTATTTTCTTATTTTTTTATTTGCTTATAATTTTATTGCCAACTGTTTTTGTTATTATTATCGTGCTTGGGTTTATGGAAGTTTCAATCAGTTTTACAATTATTTAACTTCTACTCATATATAATTGTTTAAATTAAATTAATTATAAATTTTTATTTCGCTATTACTTTATACATGAGTAGCTAGCGAGTTTCTTTAAAACCATATTTACAGTTGTCTTTGTTTTTCTCATTATTATTAATTTACACACGTATTGTAATTCTTATGATTTATTTTAATATTTTTTATTATATATTTTTTTCTTTAATCACATTTTTATTCATTTTCAGCAGCTATATAATAATAATATGTTAAGAGTATATACTGTTAGATAATATAAAAGTGTATCATTTTAAAATTAAGTTAAACTTTTCGGGTTTCCTTTGAAATAATACTCAAAATATAACTCACTTTCTTGTCGCCTTTGTTAAGAATCTAAACTATAGTAAATAATTATGTAAATATATTGAAGGCGTAGTGCAAATCTCAATAGCTATTAAACAATTGCAAATTTGCAATATAGACGAAAATTAATTTTATGATTTAAATATTTTTTAATTATTATGTGGTTGGTTTTAAGCAGTGTTTTTATTTTAAACTACTTCATATTTTATAAAATGACCACCAGGTTTTTTCAATAAAGTATTGTAATGAACTTACAACTGGCCACTTCCATCGTGCAAATTTGGTTATCCAACGGAAATTTAGACAAGTCCATCATACATGAAAATGTTAACTTCAATCTGAAAAAAATAATCATATAAGGTTTTACTATACACAATTTTGGAAACAAAGGAATATCATTGATATTAAAATATTATTTATTAAATATACAGTGTATTTTAAACATTTGAATCTCTATCGACAATATCAACATGACGTATCGTATTACTAGTTACTACATTATGTGTTCGAGATACTATTTATTTATTTTTTTTTTTTTACTAATAGTCAAAAGTTTATGATAAAATTTAAAATTAATTTAAAAAAATTTAAAAAAAGCATGTTATAAGAAACAAAAAAATAAATAATTTAATTGATGTGAATTGAAATATAAATTATTGTGGCAAAGGATTCAGTCGTCATAATGTGAATTAATGTATCATACTTAACGATACATTTTATTTACTGCTATTTAAATTTGAATTTCGTTGATGGGTTATATTTCAATTAATTCTTACATTTTTAATTCATCTTGTAAGCTATAATTTTAATGTTATTTATACTTGGATTATTTTTTTCTATTTTTTTAAAAAAAGGTAAACCAAAATTATACATTTTTTAAATTTATTATATTAGAAGCGTCTCTAATAGGAGGCTTTTTAGAGAAATTCAAGATAAAAAATCATATTATAAACATAAAGTCTTATTGTATTATATTATATTAAACTGTGCAAATTGTATTTTTTTTAAATAAAAAAATTATTACATAGATTGTAATTTTTCAACGTTTGTAATAGCCTGAAAACATTTAGAGCACTTAAATATATTTTTAAAATGTATATCCATTTTTTAAATTACTATTTACTTTTTACTGATTCTACAATGTTCCTTCCTACTATTATGAACTAACTATACAAACAAATTGTTAAATTTATAAATACATTTTTATGAACTAATTTAGAATAGTCAGTATAAATTAAATTAAATTATAATATTTACAATACGCGTTTTATTGTTACAAAATCGTTACAACAGTAATTAAAACTCGTATTTGTGATGAAATAATATTAAGTAAATAATTATTTTCTAATATTAAAACTGTATAATAATAATATTATGATAACAGATATATTATAATACAATTCATAACTTATAATGCGATTTATATGATATTTTGATTAAAATTCATGGCACAGGTTAATAATTAATAATTGTAAGTAAATGTATATTTTTGTTACGTTAGATGTTTCTATACCATTTTTAATGCAATTGTTGATGGCACACAGAAAGAATACAACGAAAAAAGAACCAATAATATGGTAACAGGTTAAGTCAAAAACTTTGAAGGAAATAGTGAGTTTATAAAGATAACGATGGAAAATTATTTTCTACTAAAATTGAAGGTATGACTGTGGACGTAAAATTTTAGCTGAAAGAATACTATAAGCAACTTGAAAACCTATATAATATATATCATGTATTCATATTGTATAATTATTTATATTGGGCGAGAATGGACTTAGTATTACATTCGTCGTAGTATATGCACTCGATAAGGTTAGTAGACCATCGTAGAAGAAATTTCGCAAATCAAATTAATTAATATGTAGATATTGATATTTCTATAGTGTAATATTAAACTTTTATCGTTAATACTGAATTCACTGTATAATATACATAAACAACATTAGTTGTTTAAATATCAATCTTAATCCAAAATTTATCATTGAATAACATTTTAAATTTATTTTTAAAATTTTAAAGTTTTTTATTCAAATTTTGAATAATGGAGTACACTAACGTTGAATATGTAGATATGGTTAAATTAAATGCATCAAAATTAACGAGGGCCTTATTGAATAACTTTTATAGATAAATATCGATTTTCATACTTAACTACTAAAGTGTATTTGATTAAGATTATTTTATAATGTATAACTGTGTGTCAATTAACCTTGTATGCCAAATTAAAACAAAATAGGAAAAGAGAGAGATGGTTGTTGATGACACATACGTCTAGGCATCATAGTCTACTTGTTACACATTAACTGTGTTCAAGTACAGAAGAGGAATTGGCTGAATTATCCGTTTACATCCTATTGTGGTAGCTGGTATAGTCGCACATAGATTGCTACAGTGCTTGTACAATAATATATTATGTTTGTATTATTGCGTAGTGCGTCAAAAGCTTTGATAATCTATAAAAAAGTCATCAGGACATGCGTCATATGTTTGAAATACGATTTCCAGTGATGATGGTTTCGATTTTGATCATCCAATATTATAACATATTTTATCAAAAACAATTAATTATTTTTCATTTGAAAAAAACAATACAAGTCTGGGGATAGAGAGAATTTAAATTTAACACCCTGACCCTTCTTTCCCCTGCACAACCACAATAACGAACGGTGCGTGCACGTGCTCACAGTTTCATAATTTTCCCTAGCTCTGATCCAAGACCGATTCCGATATATGTTTAGATAGTTAGGTATGGTATAATAAACTAATCTATAGAATAACAGTCGAGGACTTTCGAAGAGGACGTGTTTTGTGGTCGGTTTATTACGGAACATTACATAATAATATATCCGAGTGTGTGCGTGCGTTCGTCGTGGCAAACCGCACAAAACCAATTACCGAATCTCCGCGAAATACTATACACTATAAAATAGCATATACTTAATGCACTTATCGTCATAATAGTAAATTATAATAATATTGTTACTACGTATACATACTGCAAATGTTTGTACTCTTTTGAATAATGAAATAGTAGTTGGAGTAATGAGTAATGTATAAGTACTTATAGTCGGGTGATGAGTGCATAATATAACAAAAGTTTACAAAATATTCTATTGCTCTAGAGTATATAGTATTATAATCGTGAATGCGATGATAAGATAACTCTTAGAAGGTACATTCTCGTTGATGTTGTTGGGGGAGGTGGCAGTTATTGATATCTAAACCTTTCCCTGTTACTATTTGCTGATGTAAGGAGTAAATACGTATCTCCTATTATTAGTTATAAAACTTCTCTTATGGAAAAATTCACATTATCCTCACAATATTATTATATTTGAAAACTATAGCTGAGATTAAAATGTAAACATTAAGTATGGACGATGTATTAAAACATTAATTTTATATACATTTGTACACATTTTATATTTTATAATAATTATATATATACTATATATTATAAAGGTACAAACTACGTTACCACTAAAGTATTGAATCCGGTATTTTACAGATATCCTAGGCAAAATGTCTAAATTTAGGAGCTCGAGGAATGCTATTTAAGTCTCAATTCACTTTACCTATACTAAAAAAAAAAAAAAAAATAAATAAATAACAATTGACGAAGTATATATATTATATATGTTTGAAAAGTGATAGTTTTTACTAAAACTTTTCTTTTTTGTATTTGTTTTGCCAAACATTTGGTAAAGATGTCACGGGAATATTCTGATTATCTGATTTGCTATCAATGCATATTTATAAAAATATCTAGCCAAAATAATTGATCAATTTACTAAGAATAAACAAAAAATATATTTTATCGTTAAATTCTAATGAGAAGTATTAATAATGCTATTTTATAGTTATATTTAAAGAGCTTATTTATTATACGTATTTTATTTAAAAACTCGTTAAATCACTTTAGCTATATATAAAAAGTATGAAACGAAATTATAATGTTGAGTTTCATCCTCTCTTCTAAGTTCTTTTAAGTCATTTCTGATTTGTGTACGTCGTTGCTAGTTAGTGGAATTTACCCTGTGATGTACTCAATATTTTTAAAGGGCTTCTAAGTGGAAAAAAAAGAAAAACGGAAAATTAATAAATGACGATTACAAAATCTATGTGTGGTTAGATAACAATCCACGAATAATATTTCGAATAATAATACTTTCCGGTAACGGCAGCAACGGGATACAACCGTCGCAGCATATACACAACATAAAATATACTTATGACATATGTGCGTCATCTGTTAGTTTATACTGTGCTAACCTAACGAACGACTACGCATACAAAACACGAATTGGTACATTTGCATTAAATCGACCTATTTTATTTTTTTGTTTGAATCGGTGGCCTCAGGAGAGCTGTTCTCGTATTGTTTTCGCTATGTTTTGCCGATTCAGTTGATAGCTTGTTTCTAAGGGGCCTTACGATTGGTGGGTTATGGTCCTTGAGTGTGTCCTGAGTTCATTCACTCGTGGTAGTATCACACGAACAGCATTCATATATGTTCTGTTGTTGTTAAAAATACTTTGGAAATGGGTTTCAGATAAGTGTTTAAATACTTGAACGAAAAGCTATAATATTATCCACAAGGTTATTTCGGAATAGATTTTGGCGTATAAATATTATTTGTAAGCGATAATTTAATATTTTATCATAGAAGCAACGGCGTACCCAGGATTTTAATACTGTAGGTCTGCTTCACTTACGAAAGGACACTGAGTAGAAACTTCAATAAACTATGTATTACAAAGTCGTTCGCTACGCTCGCGATTATCCTTAATAGTTAGGTATTTACATCTCATTTTGATACTAATTCAATATAACTATAAATTAAATGAACCATAAGTAACTAATTTTTAAGTAAAATTTAAAACTTACAAACTTAAGGTATTATTAATAATTAACTGTTGTATTAAAATTTATACTTAATTAACAAATTTAACTGGAGTATTCAAATAATCTTGAAAAGGGATTATACATATTTATTATTTTATCTGTATACGTTTATTTGCAATGTATTTATTTTATTTTAGTTTTCAACGATTACTTTCAATTTCAGTAATTTCACAATAGATATCTGATATAGAGGAAGTGGTTCTAAATTATAATCTGATACAAAAGTAATGCATTAATAAAATTTGTATTTTTATTAAAATACATGAAAATAAAAGTACCAAGTATAGTAAAAGTTACGAACATTACTATACTGCCCTTTTTCATTATTGAAAATGAATTAATTAGTTATTAATTTATTAAAATCAATTGTTTGTGCTATGTTGCTTTTTATGCTCAATATTTCTAAATTTAATAATTAGTCTTCAGTCAA